TTGTAACAGTTCTTCTGCAGAAATCCGCCCTCCAGTCCACATTCTTCCTACTCTCATTGCCTACTTTTAAACCTTTCATGGATTTTCATAGTGAACTCAGTCTTCTAATGTTATTTCCCATATGATGTCCTCCATAATCTTCCTCAGCCTCATTAATTCTTTACCTCCCAACGCTTTCATAATATTTTATTCATAGCACTTATGTACTGAATATGATTAATTATCTACTGTGTATCATCACTGCTAGACTGTGAATTCACTGAAAATGAGAAATGCATATTGTTCATTTTGTGTCACCCAATCTAACAATGCTTTATCAAAACCAAAACCAAAAACAAACAAAAATCTAGGCATTTTAGTCACTAATTTCAAAGTTCAAGCTATAACACAATGACATTTGCGAGGCAATTCATTGATTCCTTATACACAAGCGATAAAAATCAGAATATGTATGTGCAGAAGCAGCACCATTTTCTATAGAAGCGCATGCCATAAAAAAAATTAAAAAACAACAAACAAACAAACAAACAAAAACCAAGGAAATCGGAGCACCCGGGTGGCTGAGTCAGTTAAGCAACCAGCTCTTGGTTTTGATTGAGTTCACGATCTCATGATTTTTTAGTTCAAGCCCTGCCTCGGGCTCTGGGCTGACAGTGCAGAGCCTGCTTGGGATTCTCTCTGTCCCTCTCTTTCTGCCCCTCCCCTGCTCTCTTTCTGTCTCTCAAAAATAAATAAATAAAAACTTTAAAAAATTTTAAAACAACAAAAATGAGGAAATAATATGACATTACCAGAATTTATGTACATGAAATCATAAAGCTTGACTTAGGGACCTGAATAAATGGGGAGAAGTAACATGTCTTAATACTGAAAACTTACATTTGGAATGATGTTAATTCTTTAGAAATTAATTTGTAAATCCCATGCATATCAAGTCATAACTACAGCAGGATTTTTAAATGGGCTTTGTCAGACCGATTCCAAAATTTATACCGAAGAGAAAATATGTAAAATTTTGAACAAGAATGAGAGAAAACTTTTTCAAGCACAACATACTATAAAGGTAAGTAAACTCTTTAGAACAATATGGTATGAGCTCATAAAGGAACAAAAAACCAATTAAACAGAACTGAATTAATTCCCTAAAATATGACCATTTGCATTAAGATAAAACATATCAACTCAAATGTATGAATAAGGGAGCCTTTTAAAATAATATGGAAATAATTGGTTAAAAATGTTTTAAAGTAAAGAAAATTAGACCTCTACTCCATTCTATACCCAAAAATTAAGTAGATGAGGAAGGGTTGAGTAGTTAGATGTAAAAAAAAAAAAAAATAGTGTTTAAAAAGTACAATATTTTCATAATATTCAGAGAAGTCCTTCTAAGTGAGACAGGACCAGAGAACTAGGAAGTTATAAAAGGAATGACAAGACATACAAATTAAAAGTCTTTGAATGATGAAATACATCACAAAGTAAAAAAGAAAATTGACATAGTATTAAGAGAAAATACTATAAAAACGTACACTACAAAAAGGATTAATATCCTAATACATCTAAAATAAATAGGAAAACATAGAAGGAATTCACAGAAGAAAAAAAAAATGCAAGTACCAAATGTGTATGAAAAGGCGGACAAGTTAATTTAACTAGTACTGTAGCAACTCAATTTGCTACCAGCTTGTCAAAAATTTTACAGATGTTTATTATTCATTATGGAAAATTTGAGGGGACGGGATCCTCTCATACATGGTGGATGGAGGGTTAAAATGGTAAAGCTTTTGGAATACATTTTGTAGTATTTATCAAAGCTTTTAAATTTTTTGAACCAAAAATTTCACTTGTAGGTATCTATCCTATAAAAATGCACAGATGCACACAACAGAAGACTGTTCAAGGATACTCATGGCAGTCTTGATTTTAATACTGGAAAAAATGGAACCAATGCAATAAAGTTCCCAGACTTATTCCTATAAATGAGTCAGAGAATGGAATGCATTTCTTTCTGTTCACATAAAAAAAAAATCAAACTGTATGAATATGCAAAGAAAAAATGGCTGGGCTGATACACACCAAATATTAATAATTTTATCTGTGAGGAGGGTAAACATGATGGGAAGGTATGAAACAGAGTAAAAGAAAATTTTCACATTGCATCACTCTTTTGTTTTAATCTTGTACAGTTACAATGCATTCATGTGGTTTTTATAGATTTAAAAAACAACTATAAAAAGAGTGCCTAAGAATATGTTTACCTAATTGCACAAAATAATAGTAGGCATAAAAGCTTACAGTTTGAATAACTGACAATCAATTACCAATTCATGCAACAAATATATACCAGCATAGTCTTGTACTAGAGACAAAGTTGAGCAGTAGGAATATAAGGATAAGACAAAGCCCTATCTTCAAAGTTATGCCATAATCATCAGGGGCCCAGAAAGGGCTTGAACCACAATGTGACAACTTCTACAATACAGGTCCGCAGGATGTCACTTTCCCTTTGTTTTTTTTTTTTTTTTTTTAGTTAATAGCAATACTCCCAACAGATAATAGGGCACGAGAGTGGGAAGGAACTTCACATAATGGGCAGTCACTCTGACATGAGATCATGGGCTCTGCTGTGCCAGTGTTTGCTATTGACTCTCACCTCCACCCCTCACTTAAAAGCTGTGCAACCTTTAGCTAAGTGACTTAACTCCTCTTCACCTCGACATCTCAGCTATAATATGGCTATAATAACCTACATCCATTCCAAGGGTTTACTGAGAAGATTGAACAACGCCATTCATAAAAGCCTCCATATAGTACCTGGAACATATGTTTAGTAAATATTTGTCACTCTTCTGTTTGTTATCTTCAAAGAAGCCAAAGACAGCATGCTATGCTTAGAAAACTGAAAGAAGGTTGATACAGATTGGTAGCAAAACTATGAAAGTTTACAAGAAAACAGTGAAATAAGATAACCTTTAACTCCAAGTAAGTGCTGGGCATTTGCCTGTAGAAATCTGATTTTATATTTATTCACTTGCATATCAACAGGGAAATTATCTCATTATCAATAAAACAAATTTTAATATATATTCAATGGGAATTGAATATTTTCCTGGTGAATGTGTATAAATGATAATGAAATTATTTACTTCAAACATTTAAGACTTCCAAAATTGGAATTGAAAGCAATGTTCTATCTTAGTCAACAAGGAATTTAATTTTTGAAAAAAAAAATAATTAATCCACCCAAATCAAATAAAGAATTTCAATAAAAAATAATTTAATGCAGCTAAGTCAAAGATCCCTTCCTTTACATTTTCATCTGCCCTCCATCTTAAGGACATCATTACATATTTGCTTCCTCACCATCATTTCAAACCTGTAAGAATTCACATGAACCACCATTTCACACCCCATCAGTCTTTCTATATTGCTTGGATTTTTCATTATAATAAATACTATTACTGCTGATATTATATATATATATATATATATATATATATATATATATATATGCATGCATGCATTGGGCTCCACAGCCAGACTACACAGACAAAACCCTGGTCCTGTCAATTACTAGCTGTGTGACTTTAGGCAAGTTACTTAACCTCGCTGAGCCTCAGTTTCCTTACCTATAAAATGAGACTAATAATAATTAACAATTGATAATAATAATACATATCTACATATCTCACAAGGTTGTTGTGAGAATTAAACAAATTGCTGTATGTAGAACAGTGTCTGGAACCTTTTAAGTGTTTAATTAGCTGGTGGGATTAGTTCTCTTCTTGTTCCCAAACCCTTCCTTGTGGTGTTCGTAACATAATTCTGTTTCCTGCTTCTCTCTCAATGCAAGGTTACATTAAGTACTCTCTCTTATTGGTTTTCTGCCCTTTTTAAACTTTATGTTGGGGCACCTGGGTGGCTCAGTTGGTTAAGCATCCAACTCTTGATTTCGGCTCATGACATCAAGCCCCATGTCAGGCTCTGAGCTGACAGCGTGGAGCTTGCTTGGGATTCTCTCTCTCCCTCTCTCTCTCTCTCTCTCCCCATATCCAATTCAGGTGTGTGTGCTCAAACTCTCTCTCTCTCAAAATGAATAAATAAATGTCAAGAAAGAAAAGATTTAAACTTCTATGTCAAAATAATCTTTATGTCATACTCAATACTTTATTTGAAGTCTTCATATCTTACTGTAGAGTAAAAGCTACATCTCAATCCCTATCTCCACCCATTGCTATCTTGGTGGGCCTTCTTCTAGCACTATTATTTCTCATTTTTTGCCCAATAATATCAGATTATTAAAATTAAAACTGTACTTGGATGTGAAACAATTCAAATATTAAAAGGACTGAGTTTATTTTCCTATTTAATTTCAACATTGAGTATAGCTTGGGTTTATAATCAACATTATTTTAAGTAAATAAGCATTTAATGACTATTTGAAGGAATAACTCATTTTAACATTATAAATCTAATTATGACATTAATGTAAATATTACTATAACTAGTACAACTAAAGGCTTCTGCTAGAAGATTGATATACATTTTGTCCAGAACAGCTTTACTCTGTGGAATATTTATTTCTGTCTTATAGCACAAGCTTTCATAATGAATCACATTCAAAAAACATTAAAAAAAGATATATGAGTATATGTTAGGAAAAAAATTGCTGATGCTTGAAGGTATTTTCCATCAAAAATTAAATATGGCACAATGGTCATTTTGTAGAGTTCATTAATGAAATTGGGAAGGGATTATTAATCTCTAGTGTTAAATTGAACTTACAGTGAAAATTGATCAAGCTTCTCCTGACTCAGAAATACCCTATGGCTACTATTGATCAAAAGTTTGGGACCCTGAATATAATTCATATCCAAATACAAAAACGGGACATAGAAATTGTACTTAAAAGGTTTCTTATCAAAACCTATCGCATTTAGCTTACTAGAGGAAGTCTTATGAGCATTAATTTTATTGTGAAGATCCACTGGAAAACATACCTGGCTAGGCTGAAGGCATCGTCGATCAAACCTGCTCTGTTACTGACAGAGAGAACCTAGGAGGTAAACCAGAAAAGGAAAAAAAAAAAAAAGGAATCACTTAGAATTAAAACAGCAGGTGTTCACATATCAAAACAGATCTTTGATGAATAAATCCAGTTTACCTCATGGTTCCTGATTAATTGATCAATTAATAATCTCCAATTCCTTAAATCATAGTTGACTCTAAAATAGCCAGTTTGATTGATGTTCCCCAGCAACCAGCTTCCTTTGTCCAAAGTTATTCTGTGGTGCTCTGAAAACAGCATTTTGGGGGGTAAAAGAGATTTTAAAATTATGGGTTAAAATCATATGAAGCATATTTTCTAAATAGCAGATACTACATTACCAATAATTAAAAGAGAACACCATCATAAATACTTAATTGAAATCTACTCTTTAATCAATTAATCACTATATCTAGAATTTACTAGAAAACCTTTAGTTGGTTACTCATTATTACCTCAATTAATTGTTTTCTTATAATTAACATTTTTGTTCTTGATAAAACCCCATTACCTATACACAGTGTTCTTCTGAAGATAAATGTAACCAAGAAATCTGCCACTGTACTCATGTGGCTTCTAGGTAGATCGTATATAAATATGTGACTAGAATAAAAGAAAAGACTTTAGGTGCATATTCCACTTATTTTATTCAGTAAGAAAGTGATTAAAACAACAAGGCTCATTTATTTTAAAGTCACTATTGTTCCTTGACTTTTTTCTTGGGCTTTCTTGGAGGTACCAATAAATAAATAACAGACTTTCCAGTATCATCAATAATGTTGGGAAAAGGAACCTCATTTGATTAAGAATCTAATATTTCTATACATAATTAGAACAAAGATAATAAATTCTGTTTATTGGAATCACTTTGGAAAATGGTAACTTGTTTATATTCCCCAGCTAATTCAATTAAGGGAAGCCCATGAAAACAATCTTATAACTTAAATATTTAACTCCTTCAAATATGGTACAGATAGTGAACTCTGTTCACTTTGATGTCAGCTTCTATTGACTTCACAGAAGCATAGTTTACAATTCTAATCATTTTGTCGATGTCCTCAGGACTCATGTTTCATAGAAGTTACATAATGTATTAAGTTTACTTAAAATTTATAATTTGTACGTATACACACACACACACACACACACACACACACACACACCCCACACACACACACATAATGGTCTATCTAATTTCCACAGTGACTCCAAACCAGAAAATGCATCCCAGAAACCATTTGTGTCAGTTCTGAGTAAGATGCATAATTTCTGATTTTCACTTTGTTATCAAGGTTTTTACACGTCAGCCTACAAAACAGGTTTCCTTTTTCTTTCTTTTTTTTTTAAACACTGAATTTATATTCTCTCTCAAGTAGAAGCCACAAAGGAAGAGGTTGTGACCCCAAAATTATTGGCTGAACGTTAATGATTATTAATTGCTCAGGTCTAGAATGGGGTGGGCTCATTAATCTAAAGCATGCTACGTTCTGCCAATTTTTATAAATGTAAAGTAAAACCAAATATGTATATTGAATAGAAAAATCTAATCTTTAATGTTTCAAATAGCACTTCAGCTTTCCTGCCACTTTTATAAATAGTATCTGTTGGAACAGATAAAGAAATGAGTCTCAGACAGGTTAATCGAATTGTCCAAGAAAACTGGAAATGGTCCATCTCAGGTCTTCTGACTTTGGTGTCCTTTTTACTACATCATATTCTATTGATACAAGATGGTATAACACTTTTACTGTAATATGATATATACTTTTCACATTCTTATATTGATTTGAAAAGTAGGGACATAGCATTGGAAACAAGAATTAGAACAGGAGCAGGGCAGTTAGATTTTTGTTCCAGTTCTCCTAGACATAAATGTTTGAGCTCAGGCCATGAAAATAACCTAAGCGCTAAGTAATAGAATTTAAGGTGCCTTCCAATTCTGTGGCTCAATGCAAAAAGGAACTATTTTCCTTAATTTGAAATTTTACCCAGCTTAATCTATGCTATTTTTTTAAAAAATTAATCTATCAGCTATTTCTCTAAAATATTAATAGTTCCCCAACCATCTGATACTTTGTTTTTGCATTTTTTCAAAACTTTAATATGCTTATCCACACAATTCCTATGAAGCTTCAGAATGTCACCCCACTTTACAGATATAAAAATAAAAACAAATAATTAACAAAAGATATGGCCTAACCTTATGAAGAGAGATTTCAATTAATCATGTCAGAATTCAGTGAAAAAAATTAGATTGAAATACTGAGGATATTGTTTCTCTTAAGTAATCATAACTCTGTCTTCAAGAATACTAGGATTATATAACAACACATATTTAAATTGTGATTAAATTCATGGGTTAAGAGCAAATTTGATCATTAACATCTAAAAAGTCATTACTTTTTGAAGAAATTACAATGTTAAAGAAACAAGTTTAAAAAATAATCAAATTTAATACATGAATACATAATTCAGGTTTTTACAATTCTGAAACAGTTATGGATTCCTATGATATGAAATCTGTTTTATAAAGTTATCTCTTGTTCACATTTTGGATTGGAATTTAATCTCATGTGATACGCTTGGCTCTAAATGGGTAATGGGTATTAGGAGGGCACATGTTTTGATAAGCACTGGGTATTGTATATAACTCATGAATCACTAAATTCTACTCCTGAAACTAATATTACACTATATGTTAACTAATTTGAATTTAAATAAAAACTTGCAACTACAAAAAATTAAAAAATTTTAAAAATAAACTTATTGAATAAGTTATAAGTAAATAAACTTATTGAATAAACAACTTATAGGGAGAAGAGAGACAAATTAAAATAGGAAAACAATCCCTACACCTTCTATGTCATCTGATAAGAATAAAAAAGGCGGCATCTATTGTTTTTATGTATGTTATTATTAAATTGATAACTACAACCTGAAGGTTATTACTGTTCATGAATATTTTTATGCCTTTCTTATAAATGAAATCTTTGGAGAAATGATTCCCTGAAAGATTTTGTAATAGATTTTTAAATGTCTTTTTCATTCTAGTTAATTATATCTTTAAAATGTTCTTCAAATTAACTAATGGCAAGCAATGAATTTTAAAGAGATCTTTCCCAATGGCCTAATGAGGTGTGTATGGTATGTGATGAGTACCAAAATAAAAAGTATGGAAATTATATTTGAATGTTAGTAATAACAATCTAGAATTATATTTAGAATGTATCCAAAATGGCACAAAATTTAGATTATATCAAGGTACAGAGTAGTTGAAATTTTATAGTATTCTGTTTTTATATTCTATACTTTCAGAATGAAAAGAGGAAGATTAAGCTTTTCTACTCAGTTTTGGCTGGTTACAGAAAAATCAGAATTTAAATCTAAGAAAAAGTCAGCCAAAGTAACAAGGGTATTAGTGTAAAACAAACTCAGGTATAGCAAAACATACTGTCTTTTTCACTGGACTTGTGTGAGAATCGAATTAGAAAATACTCTGTAGAACCTATAAAGAACCAGTGTGTGTGAACACAAAGGCAACGTGTTGAGGATTTGGCACATCAGCTAAGCAACCTACGTGTTTCAAAATCCTGTGTGTGTGTGTGTGTGTGTGTGTGTGTGTGTGTGTGTGTGGTTTAGAGGCAATAATTTAGAAAAGAAAACGAAGGTCCTAAGACAATTTGGGCAAATTATTTCTCAAGCCTTAACTTCCTCATTTATAAAACGGGGATAAAAATAACTCATTCTAAAGGCTTGCGAATCTTATACAAACCAATGATTAAGGCAAACGCTACATCATTATACTATCTTTAACATTTACTTGTAATTTCAGAATCAATTTCCCTTTTATTTTGAATCTTTTCTAACATTTGGCATTAAATTTATTTCCTTCCATTACATATTAATTGTCAATCAATATCCAAGGTGCTACATTTATAAATGTCTATATTCTCAGTATATCAACATTAAAGTCAAAAGATATAAATCCTTTACCTGCTTTCAATTATTTAAAAAATTGGTTTTAAAACTATTCTTAGGCTAAAATGAACTATGCCTTAACTTGGAATCAATTAGGTAATCATCTACAGGGTTTAAAAAATTGAGGTGTCAAGAATATATGATGTTTCAAATCAAATATATACATTAATTATTTACCAATGACTGTGCCTTAGTACCTCCTGAGATCAAATTTATGTTACTGACAATGAAAAATATTAAAACATTGATCTTATTGTTATAATTAAAAGGTGGACTTTTAAGATGCATTTTGATAAGAATTGACCAAAATAGTTTTTTAATGTTTTTATGGAAAAACATTATTATTGATACTAGTTGACTATATTTTGAAAAACAAGAGAGAGAGAAGTCATAACATATAAAAGGACACAAGAGTTAACAATCTGCCCCCCCCCCCAATTTGTACATTGTGTCAGTTTTTATTTGTCATCAGAATAAAGGACTTTAAGACAAAACCAAATATAGTCAGAATGAGACTCAACAGGGAAAACAGAATGGTTGTTTTTCTTTTAGGTCCTGCTTGGAAGCTTCTTCCAGATTTATGTATTTATAAAGTTTTCAAGGAACATTTACTTGGAATGGGCATTCCCCACAAAGGTGTGAGCATTTCAGTTGGGACAATGTTTCATCACCCTGAAGATTCTGCTGTGATTTAATGAAAACTGACACATTATACTCTGTAGGTTGCATACTGTACAACTTTGGGGAGAGGAAGTGTGCCATCAATATGAGAGTCAATGTAAATATCATCTCCCAGAGTTATGCACTGCGCATTCTATATAGTGTGTGTAACAGCCATGTGGATTAATATAGGTGACATTTTAGGCAAATGTACACTTTGAAACATCATGTTATTATTATTCCTGATTAATAATGAAAGACTATAAGTGGAAACAACTTCTCAAATACACCTGTGGTTATTAGTCAAGAAAAGCTGTGACCCTATCCTGGGTACTCTGTATGAAACCAGAGGTTATCATGAATGACGGCATGCAAATAACTGGGGAGTTAGGGGAAATGGACCTTTGGGGAAGTATCCAAGAAGAATCAGACTTGCCCTGAATCCCAACACTGCCTAAAAGTTTTGGTCTGATCCTGACATTTGATCAGTATCTCTGCACTCTTCCAATTGTCCCATTTCCATTGGACCTTCCAATGAGAAATGTTTCACTTGGTTTCTGAAAACTGTTCTATTTCATGTCCCTAGCAATCCTATGTAGGGATGACTTTTTATTCTAACAGTTAAATTGTTAGGTTAATGACTCACTGTTTTCACTCATCATTTCATCACAAATTATTTAGATAGATAAAACAATCACATGAAAGTAAAAAAGAAGTAAAATGATAAATAATATAGTAAGTGTGAATTCAAAATCATGGTATGAATGCTAAGTCTAAGAAATGAGAAGAATAGAATAGAATAAGCAATTTAAAAGTAGAAACACCAAATTTTAAAGTAAGCATTTCAATTCATCACTATATTCCTTATGAATCTTTTATACATGATATATAGAAATAAAAACACATTATTATAATATGTGATTATGTGTTAAAATATAATAGCACGAAAATTTGAATAAAAATTCAACTGGAAATACAAGGATTTACATTTCTGGTAAGTAGATTAGATTTTGCTGTAAGAACTTTTTCTTGTATATATGGATTTTGAGCACTCACATCTCCCTTATAATAACAAGACTTAGGGGGCAGAAACAATGTTTACTTTTTATTTATTTATGTATTTATACCTCACTTATTGCAAAAAAAAAAAAAAAAAAAAAAAAAAGATTTGTGGCTCCTTATACAGTGGTTATGAAATCAATTAGCAGAACACAAAGAAATAAGAAAAACAAAGTGTGGACATACTTGACCATTTAAATCTAAATGAAATGTTGCATAAAAGATAATAATTGCCTTTTTATTCAATTCAATAGAAAACAGAAATTAAAGAGACCTGTTTCACATCTAGCATGAAAGATTTAGATTGGATTCAAGAAATAGCTTTTTGGCAGTGAATTGAAATAGGTTACTATCTTATTTGAAGATATTTAGAAACAGAATAGAATCTCATCTTTCTCTGCTCCTTGAGAGTTAACCCTAGTTTAGGGGACGCTTTGATGACCTATCAAGGCCCCTCCTCTCTGTCCCTATAATTATCTGATTTTACGGAGTATATCACCTTGCCCATTCTTTAAAGAGCCAGTAAAGACAAGATAGCAGAAAAATGGAATTTAAAATGTGTCCTGTGTTCCATTATTTGGTATACTGTTCTATTGGGAGTTATGATTCTAATGTAATTACATTTGGGATTATAAAATAATACAGTTTAAGACAGCCAAAATTAGTACTACAAATGCTTGGTTTAAAATTTTCTCTTTACTTTGAATGACACAAATAAATTTAATAATTATATAGGCAGATTAAAATTAGACTATGTACAAACTATACTATATTATACTTAATTTTATAGAGGTAATTATCATTCTTCTATATTTTCTTTTTAATTTGTCTTTATTCACATTGTTACAACAGCTGAAACCAGAGGTTAAGTTGCTAAACAATTATCTGAAGCCAAATAGTTCCTGAGGAGAAAAAATATATTTTACCTGTTTTGTTAGACACCCAAATAATTGCTTCTGAAGACACATGGCTTCTATTTCCTACCACAATAGTTAATGGAATCTGCCACAAGTAACTGCAAAATAAAATAGAAACTTTAAGAATAAAAAAAGGTTATAACAAATAAACAAACAACATTTGCTATGCACCTTCTGCATGATTTTTATTACTCTTTAGGGACACTAAAAAAAATTCCCCAGTCACAAAACTAAGGAAGATGAATTCACTTCTTCAAAGCCATTACACAGACTTAGCCTGTAAGTGTTTGAATTTCAATACAGAAGGGGGACTTTCAACAAAACAATTTATCTTGCAAACAAAACAAAACAAAACAAAACAAAACAAAATGATTTGCATTTTGCATTAGGAATAAAAAGTAGCTAAATCAATAAATCAGAGCCATAACACATATTGATTAAAATCTCAAAACAACTCTTTTCCTTTCATTTCTATATTAAATTAGTACACATTTCAGTGGCTTCATGCATTTACATTTCAACATTATCCTTATTTATTCAGATAACTATCCTAAAAAGTACTATTATTACATTTTACAGAAAGGTTAATTAATACAGCACACTTAAAGTTGCTCAGCAAAGTAGGAATGAAAAAAGAAACTAATCAGATGTCCCTAAAATCTAGATCAATACAAAGAACACATAGGACACACTTAATGTTCTGTTTTGTGAAATGAAATTTCCAAATTGATGTATAAAATCATCAACCAATGTGCAGGGATCAGTCATGAGTCTCAGCGATTAAGGGAAGAATTTTCTAGGATTTGACGTTTTATGGAATAAAAATTGAAGCCTATTCTTGTACATGAAGTAGTATCAATTTAATCTCAAGTGACTAGCCAGAGATAAGCTGGATGGTCTTAAAATAAGTTCAGTGTTGACCTACCATTGCACCATTAAGAACAGGGGTAGCCAATAATATCTAGTATGTGAAAAATATTTGTGATTTTATGGAAAAGATACTATATGAGCTCTGTAATTTAGAGAGTGGACAGAGAATTGAGAATTTTCAGGAACCATATCCAGGGTTATATAATTTAAAAATATAATGAATATGTTTTGGGGGGGATGGGAAAAGAGGGCATCTCCTCCCATTCTGTCGTATGGAATTTGATTATGTTATAATTTCATGTTTCCCACTTACAATAAACAGAATTCAGTAATACTAAAATAATATAAATGGAAGATTGGCAGAAATTCACAATTTTATACAAATTGCCATCTATAATATGAAAAGTTAAAATAATATGTTTAAAATTCTAAATTTTAAAAGTATATGCTGTATGTAGCCAGAGAAACATTTTTGAGTGCCAACTATATGGAGACACTATGTTGTACTACAATGGAATCTACACAGTTGGTCAGGAAATAAACACACCTATAGTAGCCAAAAGTATTGTTTTCAAAGTACAAGTAAATGAACACAACCCATGTAAGCTCTTTATCAAATACCTCCAAGGTCGTAATATAATACTAAGAATATGACAAATATTTAATAACGGTATTACTGTGAGAAAGACAAAGAGAATTGATATATATTTATTTAACAGCAGATCTTTAAAAATAATAACTCTTTTTTGATTAATCCAAAGCATTAGTTAAGAGAGAATAATGCTTGATTGTGCATCTGATTCTCAAAGTAAACTATGAGCTCATATTTGTGTACCAAAGATTTTTAAAAAGCCTAGAAATGGAAGGCATTCCATAAATTGCTATTGAATTGGATCACATCGGATTAGACCAAAGTAAAATAAAAGGGGCCAAATCATTCTATGGGCAAGACAGAGATTAACTTTACGAACTTGACTTTTTGGTATGCATCTTCCACATGGAGTTGGGTCAACTAAATTGTGAAGCCAAATAAGTATCAGTTAAAGGGCAAGAAATATGTAAAACTGAAGATGTTTAAAAATCCTCAAGGATAAATATATCTTTTTTAAGCATGATCATGGAATGTGAATGAAACACTATTTTCCCTTATATAAAAAAATATAATTCTGCATCTAGTTAGACTCTATTCTTCTAAATAGTGAAGCTAGAAATTATAATAAAATTTCTATGGCATGCTTCAATATTTGAATTTCAGCAAAAGTCTCTAAAGTACAGAAAAAGAGATTCATGTCAATACCTACATGTTGTTTACAGTCAATGGCACATACATATAGGAAACTTCCTAAATGGCACATAGCTGTTCAGATGCAAAAGAGTTAACTATAAGGTACTGGGATACAAACATTCGGGCATTTTGTAAAACTTTTGAAACAGTCTTCTATATTCTTTCTAAGAATGCTTTTGCCTTCTGTGTGTCTCTGCATGTATGTACGATTGTGCATGCACACAGTGAAAATCTGTATATTGTCACGGAAACAAAATAAAAATTACAAAATACCAAGCATATCTAAAATTTGTATTCATTTCTGAACTGCTATCCAATGAATCCTATGTGTTATTTTTCATAACTTTCTAAACAACACGTATTTGATCTTTTCACAAATTTCATTTCAAAAATCAAAGAAAGCGTGGCAATTAGGTTGCTTTACGGTTATAACTTAAAAGGGTGGAAGACATAAACACTGTTGAGTGAAGTGTGGTGTGGTATAAAGGAAATCTCACCCTGCAGTAGGTTATGTTTGAAAAAAGACTAGAAAAAAGAATTTGTGAAATTAGATTGTGTCCCAGCCACCTAAGTTTTCATTTTAGCCATCTCATTTTAAGCAGAAAAATAGCAAAAACAAAAACATACACAAAATGCATTTCAATAGACCTCAAAGATATTTTTTCTTTAATATTCCCTGGGACTACCTCTCTTCATAGTTCACATTTTTTTAATGAAACAATATTTATCCTAATAACCACATTAAGGTAGACAATAATAGGTACTTATTTTAGTGTGAGAAATCTTTTCAAAATGGTACCAATATTAGGAAAGCATTAATGTAGACACCATACACCCTTGAGAGAGTGCTGTCATTGGGTCAATAGCAAAAGAAAATATGAGTGTGGAGGTAAATATAATTCTCTGTAGCACGGGACTCTGAGAAGCTCCATAAGTATATGAGGAGATATTACTTAAGGTTGCAATATATTAACTTCATAAAGAAAAAAATAAACTACACAAATTCAGAACTCCCAAAGTGCATAAATTCTAGCAAATATTTAATTCAGTTTTATATGTCATCAAACTTTATGCAATTTTTAGTGATGTAAAGATCTTTCTGTGCTACAAATATAATTATTATTACACTAAAAATGTTTTGGGAATGTTGTAGTGATGTTCTAGTATGCTTTAAAAAATTCAAGACAGGGGCGCCTGGGTGGCGCAGTCGGTTAAGCGTCCGACTTCAGCCAGGTCACGATCTCAAGGTCCGTGAGTTCGAGCCCCGCGTCGGGCTCTGGGCTGATGGCTCAGACCCTGGAGCCTGTTTCCGATACTGTGTCTCCCTCTCTCTCTGCCCCTCCCCCGTTCATGCTCTGTCTCTCTCTGTCCCAAAAATAAATAAACGTTGAAAAAAAAAAATTAAAAAAAAAAATTCAAGACAAACAATTGAGTATACTGGCTCAGAAAATGTCCACAATTTATGGGGTTTCATGTATCGTGGGCACTGTATTTTGCTGGATCAACAGCTTGCATTGTTTAATAAAGATGTAGATAGGCTATACACAAAAGACAGATAGAATTGGTTTTGAAGCTCTGACCACAGGTTAGAGTGAATAAAATGATCAATAATATACAATTGAATACTAAATTTTTAACTGCAAGCTCTGTTATTTCAAAATAGATAGAAAATAATTTTCAAGATTAAAGGGACTCCATGCATTATCTTACTCTTAATATTTTATATGCCAAGTTCTCAGGGTTCAAAATTATCCATATGATTTTATAACTCTAGCAAAAGCAAGGCTCTATAGAGCTGATGTACTTATACAGCCTGGGAGAAATTCTTCCTTTAAAGAGTCAGACCCATAGCTGATACATCTGATGCATGTTATAGGCTGACAGAGTATTTTTGTTCAAAATTTGTTCTGTCATTTGCGGGTCCTTTATGTTTTTCTGCATCAGTGATGTTTGTGTCAGACTGATCATTCTCAAAGGCATGGCCTAAATGTCTCTAACTTTGCCACAGTCAAGTAGTTTTTATGTACTTCCTGGCAAGGCCAGGGTTGATGCCTAAGCAGGTTTAGCCCAGGGCCAGAGAGGGTGGAGGACCGACCAAAAGCAGCATTTGGCAGCTGTGCGGGATCCGGCTGAGTAAAGAGGCGTTGACAGAGTCAGGCCCTGACAGTGTGGCAGGGTAATACTGTACTGAAACAGTTGGGCTGCAAGGGCAGTTTGGTGAAGGCCAAAATATATGCCGACCAGGACATTTAAGACCATGCTTTCCTGAGTGACATTCCACATTTAGTCACCAGAAAACATTCACGAATTTCTCAATCACTCCTACGTATAGCCCATCTTGGAACTAACCTGCCTGGGAATGATTTCCATTCCTTTTGGAGATTGAAACAAAGACAAAAACAAAAAATAATTCATGCCTCACACCTCCTAGGTATTGGTGGATGATAAAATCAGGGTTCTAATATCCCAGGGTAATTAGGGAGTCAGAATGACCAACCTAATCCAAGCACTTCACTTTATTTATTAATTTTAAACCCCATCCCTTCTGTCTCCCCCCCTTCAATCTTGTCTCAGGGCACCTTTTAAAAAATGAAATGAACTGATTTAAGTTCTATTATCTTTCCTTGTCTTAGCTTTTAATAAGACACAAAACAATACGAAAATACAAAGTAGAAGAGAAAGAAGCACTGTGTGCTGTTTTCAGTAATTAAATAAGCGTTTGAAAAGAAAGTTTACAACAAATAAAAATTCTATGTATGTTGTGTGTTCAATGGTTTCAAACACTGAAAATGAGGAAAGAGAACATATTTTGATGCTAAGTAGCATTGATACTTAGACCACTTAAAAATGGATCTAGTTTGCGTTCCTTTGGCTCAGACACTAGTTAGTCTGGTTGTGGTTTTAGTTTGTTTTAATTAGTCTTTCTGGATAGTCTCTATTCTCATCTATTTTATAAATCTCAGTTTGCTCAATTCCATTTAATTGACTTCAATGCATCTTAACTTTCTTGAATTTAATTCAACAAACATTTACAGGGAAAAGTAAGAAATCACATATCTTTCTAAATCACCAGATAATTTAAACTCTGTCTTCTTAAACAATATAATTTTGGTATGCTGTCATTTTGATGGTTAAAATATCTGGAAATGAGAGTAAAAGAGGAATCAAAATGAAAACCCCGCATGTAAATAAAGAAATGAAAACTATATTTCACTTACATTTTATAATTGTGGTCAGCATTTCTTTTCAAGATGTTAAAAAACCCACAGTGAAACATACTAATAAAAGCAATTGTTTTTTTCATGCAAAGGAGTATTGTACCTGGTATTCTGAAGTTCAAGCGCTTTAGTTTTAGCACGGATGTCATAAATAAAATGTTGTTGGGTAATTATTATTCTATTTTCTGCTGTTGTATTTCCCAAGATGGTGATAACAGGATAACCCATCTGGAGTGTCCACTGATCCATTACTTCTTGTATATTTACATATTTTCCATTCCTTTTTAAAGCCTTTATAACCAAAATTGCATAAATTAGTTTTATAAACATGAATTGTAAACATAATTACCAGTGAGACATTTTTATTTTTACCTTTATGATTTACTTAAGTTTGAAAACATGTAAAATCAGTGAAGCTAATACAATGTGTTAGTAAAGTTAACCTTCTTGCCTTGAGTTAAGCTTTATACATACAGATAAATGAAAGCTTTATTAACATTAAAGTTTTTACTTAATGGAAAACAAAACATAGTTTATTGTTAAAACAAGTACTTGCAGCATCATTAAGTATCCCAAATATGTCTAGTATCAAACTTAAATATTTGTTATTCACCTATAGAAAAAAAAACTACTTTAACATCAATATTTCTCTCAAACATAAGGGCCTGACACCATATTAATGTTGTATTTCAGAAGTACTGTCTTGCTGGAAAGTAGGCAAGGTACTTTTTACTACCATTTATGGTTTAAGTAATTTTAAATCCCATTATTTTTATAATATAATGTATCAAAATTAAAATGATAAAGCAATATGGGGAAAATGGAAATATAAAAAGTAAAAACAACTGTCAGTGCCAATAAAAATTATGAATGGTTTATAAACTCAATTCAAATATTCAAGAAGAGGTTTTGGTATTTGAGCTTCCTATACTTTACCTCTGATAGTGTATTCCAGAGATCATTTCTGGCTGCATTGCCATACTTATGAATGGTTAAATAATCCTACAAAGAATATAAAAATGTAATTACAATTCGAAGGCTGAGCAATTTCCCGTAAACACACTTATTTCTCAATTCAATTAACCATTTCTATTTGTTAGAATTGCATTAGTACAAAGTCAAAGAGAAAGGCATGGGAAATGATGAAGAATCCCATTTTAAAATATCCCAAAGAGATTTAACTATAACATATCTCTTGATCAAGTCACCAAACAATACTGCCATCTTAAAAATTATCTTCATAGCCATAATCACTTCTTATGGATTCCCAGGGTCAAAGGCCTTTCTCTAATCTACCAAATAAACCTCAGGCAATTTTAAAGAAACTATCTCTGCATTGAAATATTTAGAAGACACTTCCCCATCAGGACTTCCTGTTGAAATGTTGGGGGGATAAAAAAAGGAACTGTCTTATGGAAAAGAAAAAATAACAGCAGAAGCCTGACTGATATACGCTGATGTGAAGACAAGTTGCTTTGCTGAAAGAGTGAGTGATGACCGTCTCCAAAACACGTCCAGCTCCCTAGTCTCTCTGCAAAGGGCAGGCTGTCTCATACAAAAAATGATACACACTTATTTCCATGAGTTTGAAACATATATTAATATTTAATAAGAAATAGTCAATCCTACACTTAATATTTTTGAGTGTAGGACTTCTCATTTCCCAGTTTCCATCATTAGTAGTTAAATCTACACATTTTCTATCTACTTCATGCCTGTTCCCTTCTACGAAGCATGGTTTATGTCACTCTGAATACGTTATTTAGTTATGACTAACTGGCGTTATTCTTTTCCTGAATCCAAAGCAGCAAAAATGAATAGAAAATAGTATTTTATATTATAAAACAGAGGGGCCCTGCCATTAGAAATTCCATCATCTCTACAACATGTAGGTAGTAGACAAAATCCTAATTTACATCACAGTACTGAAAATGAGAAAAAAGAACTTGCTGACTCTTTTCAGTATTTTACATAGAGTGGAATACTTTGGGGATAATTAAACTTGGGGAAGAAATTTTTCTGAAATACAAATTGTAGCACCTGTGACAGATTCAGCTTTGTTGGCAACTCACAGCACAGCAAATGGCAACTCCCACTTAATCAGACTCTAAAGATGCAGTGCCCAACACGAACTTAGCAACCACAAATCCATCACCGTCATCAGGTGTTATGAATAACTTTATTGAAAAAAATGCAACCCTGAATAACCAATCTGAATTCCACTTTGGCTTTGAATATGCCATATGAGTCATTTTCCATTAGAACTCAGGGACCAGGATTTAAATAAGTTATTTGAGATTTAACTGTCACAATTATCTTTTATGCTTTTTTAGTACTTAAATGAATAAATTTTGGAACAATGGGAATTATGAAACATAAATTTGAGTTTTATTTTAGTGATGCAATAATAAAATGTATCAAAATAGAACTATTTATTTCTTGGATTTGGTTTATGGATAGTGTTGTTAGGATAATCCCAAAGAGGAAACAAAGGAATACTCCATGGATCTCGAAAGGTCTAATACATAACTACAAGAATCTCTTCACAGACAGACCAACTGTTCACATTATGAGTTGACCTTGACCCAATAGTGATCCTCAACTCAAGTTCTTGGTTCCCTCCCCAATTCAGAATAAAGCTCAAATTTACATTTCAAGCAGGCTAAAATGGCAATTATTCAGGCTTAGGAAGCAGCTCTGACTTGCTTGCCTCAGAATTCAGGGCAGAAAGCGTCTTCTTGGATTCTCGGCAGTTCCAATCTTCAGGTGTTACTGGAATTCTACATATGTCAACTCTTTTTTCCAAAAAAATAGAAAACCCCAAGTGTTTTCCTTAGTTGTTTTAACCTTCCTCTTGCATGAAAATAGTCATATTTTAAATTAAGGAAATTTTGTTTTGTCCTTGTCAAATTACAAAGAAAATTACAGAATCGTAAATGTGGTTGTGGTTTTTGTTTTGTTCTTGGTTTTTTTTTTTTTTGATGATCAATCATTTCTTTATCAATTCATTCCACAAAACATAAGGTGTACTTCTCAAGTGCTGGTAGCTTTCATGTGCTGGGGAAACAGTGGTGGAGAAAAGGTTACTGAATACAATGGCAGATACTCAGATGTGATTTGGGGAAGACAGTTTCTGTGACTGAAACTGTAGGAGTCGTGGTACAAAAACTACCTGACAAGATGAATTCAAACATTTGGTATGCAATTAAATAAGAAGATTTTAAGTTCCTTTCAAATCTACAAGTTGATGAATATGAAGATGGCTGGAGTTACAAATATGAAATGGAAATTGATGTTTACAGGCATGTGTATGAAAGTCACTCTGCAACAGGCTTGGCATTATGATACAAAGTAGGAAAGGGTTTTAATATTAACTGTGAAAGGAATTGAGGGTTCTCAGAAATAGTAGAGTTGTTGAAAAGAACAAAGATAACTGCTAGAATATGCTTAGGGGACAAAACTGATTAAAAGTTAAAGGCCCATTTAGCAAAAGTATATTCTGACACATAAAGTGCAAGAATGGAAGTCTGACTATCTTTGTTCAAGTCCACACCCCAACACTCCCTAGCTACATGATTTGGCAAGTTGCTTAACTTCTCCATGCCTATCTTCACACCTATAAAATGGGGATAATAAAAGTCCTTGTTTCATAGGGTTATTCTAGGAATAAATGTTTTAATATCTGTACAGAATTAGAAAAGAGTGTCTAGAATACAGTTAAGTATTCAGTAGAAATAAGCTGCCATAATCTTTGTAATCATTTCAGCCTACTGGCTGGAAACAGAGTAACTGAAGGAAAAGCATCACTGACGGTAATAACCAAAGAACAGAGCAATGAAAACAATTATATTTGCCTCCTTTTTATAGTGCTGTGTGAATTGCTTTATATTTTATCTCATTCAATCCCATGACATTTATGGGGTAAACATCATCTTCATCATCTAATAAATCAGAACAGTGGAACTCAGAGACTCCAGCCCATGTCCAAACCCCATACCTGTGCACACAACTGCTGACCCAACCCAATATCTGCTAGATGCTCCACAGATGACTAAGAGCTTCTCAAAGCTGAACTCACTGTCCTCCCCCATATCAGCTCCTTTTGGCAGCCCTTCTCCAGTGACGACCCTTCTATCCACCTCAACCAAGTAATCTTCTTGGATGCCTCTCTCTCCCTTTCCACCACATTCAAGTGATGATCCATGTCCCCACTATTCCCTCAAGGTTCCCCCTTCCTTCCTCCTATTTGACAGCCTCTCTGGATGACTAGCACTGCCACCGTTCCTGCTCTGTTCCCTTCATATCACATAACCCACCTGTTACTTTGTTGCTCTCTGCCTCAACTTACTTAGCTACTTCCTGCTTTCTGCAGATGCCTATTCATACTCTCTCCCTTTTCTAGGTCATTGCACAAGCCCTTCGCTATGTATGCTTTCTCTTTCACCTACATCAAGTCAGCTCAATCTCTGGGACTCAGGCTTGATCCATTTTTCTCAGGAATCCTTTCTTGCCCATTCCCACCCCTTCCTAATTCTGAGTTAAGTACCCCTCTTACATTCTCACCCGTTGTACCATATAAGAACATCTATCACACTGTGTTCTAATTGCTTGTTCATTAGTTTGACTGCTCATGTACTCTGTAAACTCCATGAGAGTAAGGCCCCTGTTATTCCTGTCTACCACTGCTTAGCCAGCATCTATGTGCCCAGTTGGGGACCCAGCAAATGCTGACTATATTTGTGTGGTTCCTGACTTTCCTTATTCAATATGCCTCCCTGTGAACAACTGACAGTACTGTAAAGAGACATTTCTTATATCCATCAGGTTCCTCCAAAATGTCATATTTAAACACTAACATAGAACATAAGTTATTATTTCAGTGCATATTTGTCAGCTATATAACTCGCATTGATAGATGCAATTGCATATGATGTCATCAAAAGACTGAACTATTGGGTATGAGACCATCTTTATTTTACTTTTTTTGCTAACAAGTGACATGATCCACAATCAGTCATGCACAAAAGCCAATGGGACTAATAAGTAAATAGGGAGAAAAGGAAAAGGTGAGCTGAGGAAGGAAATCACTATTATCTTTTAATATGTTTACATGGAATAATTGTGCACTCCTAGTAATGAGCCCTTTAGCACATGGAAACAGAGGACAAACTGCACAAAGGATTTATTCCTCGGGACACAGAAAGACAGTTTATTAAAAACCAAAGATATATGGACCGGTTTATATATGTTTAGCTGCAAATTACAAAAAAAAAAATCCACCCTAGAATGACCTTTTTAATGACAAGATTTATTCTTTCCTATTATAAGAGAAGGTACCACAGCTGCAGCTCTTTTCCTCCAGAAATTGTTTGGCCCCACCTTTACCTGTGTTTTGCCTTCCTCCTCAATTTTGCGGTTAGATTGTACAAGTAATCCCAACCATCACATTCAGACATGACATTGCACAGAGGAAACAGAATTTCTTCCTGAGAATCTCTTTTTAAGAATCAGGAAAACTTCTTGGGATGCCTGACTGGCTCAGTCGCTTAAGCATCTGACTTCATTTCAGCTCAGGTCACGATCTCACGATTTGTGAGTTTGAGCCCCGCGTCGAATCCCTGCTTGGGATATTCTCTCTCTCTCTCTCTCTCTCTTTCTCTCTCTCTCTCTCTCTCTCAAAATAAACAAAACCTTAAAAAATAAAATAAATAAAAATAATAATGAAAGCTTCCTCTCCATTCCTGCATCAAACTCTCTGTGATTCCCATTTGTCAGAATCACATCCTGTGCTCTAGTGGAAATGTGTTAATGCAGCTTTAGGGGGTATTGCTCTGGGACTGCACAAGGCAGGACCCAGTCCTGTGTTTTCTCCAATAAGATAAGAGAGGCAAGTCTGGGCCTCAGTGACACTGGGAAGTAGGAGCCCTTGTACTTGTAAGACTAGTCTGGGAAATGCCAGGTAAATTCAGGCATTGATTTTTCTGACTATGTGACAAGAGGGT